CAGACAATCAGAACTGTCTCTAGACATCGCCTGATGTCCCGTCATGGGGCAAGATCTCCCTGGATTGAGAAGCACGGGTCTGTGCCACTTTTTGCTGCCTTCACTATGCTGTACAAATCTGAAAAACTGAGGAGGGCCACTCAGGGAAGATTCGCAGTGATCAGCCGCTGGAGCTGAGTTCTGGTCGGTGAGTGGGTGACTGGGCCAGGAGAAGGCCTTTTTTCCAGTATAGAGAACAATGTGTGCAGAGGCCTGGAGGCACCTCGTTGGTGAACATTAACCCAGGGGAGGTCCACTCCCCAGAGGAAGGAGGCCAGGGGGCTGGTGGCCTAGGAGTTATAACTGTGGGAAGCTGCCTCTGCTGGCCCCTTGGTCTCCTGCCCCCAGTGCTCAGCCTTTGCTGGAGCTTGCACCTCCCCCAGCGACTCTGGGACAGTCTTCCTAGGCTCCCCGTCCACTCACAGAGGAGACTGAATTGCTGAGGGCTGCCAGGGGGTCAGGGTCCCAGCTTCCTGGGTGGGGGTGCTGATTCTGGCTGGGCCACTAGACCCTGACCAACTAGCTGGAGGAGCAAAGGCGGCCTGCTGCCGGCCGCCTCCTTTCTCAGGGCCGGGGTCACGGAACGGCTGAGACTGATTTATTCCCGTCTTAATCTGGTGGTTGGTTTGGTGAGAGTTGGAAACACATTGGTTTTCCCTTCCCAAGTGTAACAAGGCCTGTTTCCGCCTCCGCGGCCGCTGCTGCAATGCCACGCGATGAAGTGTCCAGGACGTGACAAAAGGGCTCGGTTAGCTGCCCGCTGGTGAGAAGATGAACAGCTCCCGGCGCTGCCCGCCCTCACATTCCTCTTGCCCAGGCACTGGCCTCTCCCCTTGGCCGGCTGCTCCCTGGGGCCCTGCATGCCCCTCTTTCTACTAACATCCTTTCTGGGGCCCCAGGCCCCCCTGGGAGCCAGAGTCCTGGCCCAGGGAGGAAGTAGGAAGGAAGCTGTAGGAACAGGTGGTATTTGGAGACTAATTAATATTTGTGAATAATAACACGTGCCCAAGGGAAACAAATCAATCTGTGTTTGCATATTCATGAGGAGGCCTCGGAATGATCCCAGCTGTTCTCCAGCCAGGGAACCCCCCCCGCCCCCACCCCACCATGGCTGGCGTCACATGGTCTCCCTGGGGCAGCCCCCATTGAGGCCGGCATCGGTGGTTGGCTGCATGGAGGTGGCCTGGCCTCTGTTTACAGGCCTGTCCGTGATGTTTGTGTTCGAATCCTATGGCTTGGTGTGGTGCCTGCTCCTTTCTTTTTCCTCACAGCAGAGATCCCCAGGCTCTTCAATTTCACAAACCAGTACAATTTCCAGAAGGACTTGGAGGCCAGACATGGGGTTAGCAATTTTTATTTTGCCAAAGTAAGGACATTATTAAAAAATAACTGGTATCTGCTCTCCCCCATCACTTCCTGTAAGAAAGGACATTTTAACACCAAGGACAAAATTTCAGAATAAAGGACAGTTCTTCCCAAGAAAGGGCAGTTGGCAGCTTTACACTGATGTAGCGAAGAAAAAGGATATGTGAAAACCATTCTGAGTGTGGAAAAATGGCATCCAGTGATACTGTACGATAGCATTCAGTACGGAATTGTTTTCCTGCCCAGGTGTGTCACTTGGTAGAACCGATGGTCCGCAGTGCCATCCAGACATGAGCCGAGTGTGCAGGCGCTCAGGCTGTGTTTTCACCTCGGCTGTGAGAATCCAGGCTCACCCAGCCATGGGCAGAAGTGGACACTCTGCTCTTAACGCCACTGCACTGAATTCAGAAAGTTCTCGGCTACCCCAGCCAGGCGGGCGTCAGTCCGCCTCCCTACTCTACTCCCCTCCTGCCGTCTCCTCACGGTCGACCGTGAGCACTCCGGGGCTGGGGGCAGGGTCAGTGTCTAGACCCGGGACCTGGGACTCTGATGGGACTTCAGCGCAGGGCCCTGGAGCTGGGAACAGCCTGCACTGCCTGATACTGGGGTGGGCTCTGTGCCCAGAGTCAGGGCAGAGGCAGCTTGCTCATACCGGGAGCTGGTGAGGGAGAAGCCCTGGCCGGGACAGCTATGTGCTGGCTGGAGTAATTCCCTGAGAACGTGTCTGTATTTTGTGTCACCATGTTACCCCATCACTCGAGGTGTCCCCATGTCCATGGACTGCTGGGAGAAGCTGTCTTGGAGGGAATGTCATCTTTTCAACGTCTTCACCTCTGTCTCTCCTCTTTCTGCATCAGACCAGTGACCTAGGCATTCCAGACCCAGATACACAGGGCAAGCCAGGAGTCCCCACGTCAGGGCCAGTTGTCTTTGTACAGTGGCAGTGGACTTACCAGAGGCCCACTTTCTCTTGACACCCATGGCCAGAATCTCATCCAAGAGGATACCACATGATATCTGCTCTGGAGTAACACCCCCATGATGGCTGTATTGGGCTTCTGTGACTCAGCAGTAAAGAATCCAGCTGCAGTGCTGGAGACTCAGGTTCAATCCCTGCATCAGGAAGATCCCCTGGAGAAGGAAATGGCAACCCACTCCACAATTCTAGCCCGGGACATCCCACGGACAGAGGAACCTGGTAGGCTACAGTCCATGGGGTCAGAGAAGAATCAGATATGACCAAGTGACGCTGTGGCTGTGCTGGGGACTGACACCCCATGATATTGATAACTGGTGTTATTCCTCTGTGATAATGTACCTTGGTAATATCCATCGGGCAGCTGCACACCCATGATGTCTGTCCACACTCACATGGCGTCTGGCCAGGACAGCTCCACCTCCATGATGTCTCTGCCTGGGTGATGCACTGCTGTGATTGCTGTGCCAAGGCAGCTACAGGGGATTATGGCTCAGTGACCGTTATACTGGGGAGTTACACTCCATGGTGGTTGTGCTGTGCTGTACCTCCACAGTGTCTCTCCTCTGTAGCTTCATCACCTCTGCATCCATGTCAAGAGAGGTGTGTGTGTCTGCACTGGTGGTAGGGGAGACAGGTTCACACCTGGACTGCTTGTACAGTACCTGGGAGTGAAACCTCTGGGTATATTGTATTGTTGCACTCCATGATGTCAGTACTAGTCCCCTCTGCCCTGTCCTTTGGTGCAACACGCCGCTGATACATGGACCAAGGGTACAGGGTGGTTTTATGAAGGGCCCGTACCCCCATGACAGCCCGGCCCGGCAGTTCACCACCTGATGTCTGCTGGGAAGTTGAACGCTATCGTTGGTTGCAGTGCTGCACAACAATGCCATGGTGATCACGCCCAGACAGACAGGGCCTTAGTGATGCGTGATCTCCATCCCAACTTGGCTATACAAGGCATTGCGGTGGGGATGCCCTCTGTCCTGGTCTCAACTACCTGAGTTCTGTGATCATTGAACAGAACCCCAGGTGTGTGCTAAATGGGGCTGGATGCCCACCAGGCTGCTTCAATATTCTTGCTCTTGCTGCTCAGCCCATCTCAGACTTTCGGTAAGATCTTGGGACAAGAGACATCTCCACCCCCCCCACACCCCCCCCCCGCTTTCCCCTTTGTGGTCAGCCCCTACCTCAGTTCACAGTCCTCCTGCTTTGTGCCAGCACCTTTGCTCACTTCCTGCCCTCTGCTCTTCTGAACTTTGTCCCGGTTGAGACTAGGGGTCCAAGTTCCAGGGCAGAGCAGAGCCATCTTTGAGTCCTGACTCTTCCTGTTACCAGCCCTTGCACATTCTCTCACCCTGTGGGTCAGCTGGGTCTGGTCCCCACTCTCCCAGCCGAGTCTGTAGGTACCACTGTGGGGCCCCGAGGGGTGTCCACCATCACATGTGCCCTGTTGTATCCCCAAGGCATGAATGAGGGACTTTGTACACCAGCCCCTGTCTCAGAGCAAGGTGTGAGTTGAGCGGGTGGGCATTGGAGCAGATCTCCTGCAGCCCCCTGAATGGGAGCTGCGGAGACAGACCCTCGGGAGCTCGCCATCAGGGCCGGGGAGTGACAGCAGTGTGTCTGTACCATCCAGTGTGACCGCGCCGAGTGCTCCACATAGGTGCCAGGTAGAGAGTGTGTGGAGGGCGAAGGGGCACACCCAATCGAGGAGCCCTGTAAGCAAAGGCCTGCGGGCATTCAGACCATCCTGTATGGTCTTCCCCTGCCCAGGTTCCTGGCTCAGCCCCGAGGGCAGTTGTGAGTGAGTCGCCGTCTGAAGCTTGCACTGCTCTGGGCCACTGGGGCAGGGCAGAGGAGGTGTGGGGTTGACGCTCAGGGTCCAGCACCCCCAGTCCTGGCCACTAGGGCCTCCCTGTGGTTTCCCTGTAAAGAAGTTTGGTGCCATGGGAATTGGGTAGGATGAGGGTGGCCAGGCAGGGCGGCTGCAACTCGTCCAGAGCGGGTCCTGGCGAGCCCAGACGGCTTGTGGCTTTGGCTCCAAGCCTCTGATACCTGGATCCCGTCTGCCACCGCCAGGGCTCTGCTCTGAGGCCTGTGCCCAGCATGTGGGCTCTGCTGGGCAGAGGGGCAACAGGAGGCCCCAGGAACTCCGAGTGTGCTAACTGCTCTATCTCGGTCTCCATCTCCCGCTGTGTGTCTGTGTCTCTTGGACCCGTTTCCCTGCCCCAGTCCCCTCATGGAGGCGTGTTGGAAACACTAGGTCCAGAATGGAACGTCCCTGTACATCCTCTGGTCTCAGTAGCCCCTGCCCCCTACTCAGGTTTAGAGAATGACCTGAGGGCCTCTCATTCTCTCCCTACATGTGACTGGTGGGTTATCCTTGGGGTCTCCAGGGAATCGATGAGGAGTTTGGGTTTGCACAAGGTTTGGAAGGTCTGGCTGGTCGGGTGGGGGTGTCTGTTGAACTAGGTGGTCTTGGTGGTGAGTGGGAGCCAGGAGGTGGCGTGCGGACAATGGGACATGGGTGGATACCAGCCAGTTAACTCTGCCCTTCTCTCCGCCACAGGTTGATTATCCCGGGCTGTGGCTGGCCGAGGTGCTGGAGCCCCGGATGGCCCCTGAGCCAGCCCCAGGGAGGACGATGGTGCCCCTCGTCCCTGCACTTGTGATGCTTGGTTTGGTGGCAGGTGCCCATGGCGACAGTAAGTCTGGCCCCTCAAGGTGTGGGGCCTCCCAGATGGAAAGGATGCATTCTTCCTAGTAGGACTCTGGAAGGGGGGATGGGACCAGTCACCAGGAGAGACAGGATGGCTAGATACACCTCCAGACCTTCTGTCCCAGAGAGTCCGCCTGCTTGGAGCACCGGCCTCCAAGGAGAACCCCAACCCTGTACTTCCCAGGAGCACCCTGTGAAATGCCCGTCTGTCTCTTAAGGTGCTGTAGGGTGGGGCATGTGTGAGTGTGACCCTGTTTATGGGCTGGAGGTGAGACGAGCCCAAGATTCATGTGGTCACAGATGATGTGCTCAGGCGTGTACTGTGTCCGCTGCTGTGGACTTGTGCAGGAGGCACAGTGTGGGTTGCACCAGGGGATGGTGTGGGAATAGAGGGGCAGCACACAAGGAACATGTGTGGATGTGTGAATGGGACACCAGGTGTGTGCACAGGTCCAGGGAAAGGTGAGAAGGGAGCCACCATAGCCCTTCCCCTGGGCTAGGCCCTTGTAGACACTGAGCCCTTGCTTCCCTCCCCGGCTTCAAGGCAGAGGGACATCGCCGCCCCCAGCCCCTCGGCCCTTAGAGTGGGGGGAGATTGCACTTGGCCACAGGAAGCTGGACTCCGGCGCCCCTCCTGTGTGTTGGGGGAGGTGGGATTGTCCCCTGCGCAGATCCAACTCAGAACTTGGGTCCCTTTCCTGCCGCCCTTCCCCCTGCCTGGCACTAGGAGACTGGCCGCAGCCGCCCCGTCACCATGGTTACCACTGCTTGGTTACTGGTGGGAGGCGGGGCACAGGGCAGATTTAGCCAATCTGCACACGGAGGGGGAGGGGCGAGGTCGGAGCCAAGGTCCCTGGGGAACGGGGCTGTTCCCATCCTGTCCGGAGCCCAGAGGTGGCCCAGGGCCAACCTGGGGGTCAGCCGGCCATAGGTTCCCCCAGCCCCCTCTCCCAAGTATCTGGGTGCAGAGCTCTCTCCTTGCCCCACCCAAGCCCTTTCTCCTAAGGGCTCATTAATTATTCAGGACCAGATCCTGGAGGGGGTGGGACTGGAGAGCCCCGCCCTTTGTCCGCCAGGCTGAGCTGGGTGGGGCTCGTAGGGCAGGAGGGAGACAGGGTATTCCTCTCGGGGTGCGGGGAGTGGGGTGATGAGAGCCTTAAGGTGCTGGTGATGAGAGGGCCAGGCTAGCAGGAGCAGGGCAGGGTAGGGGCTGCTGGAGAGAGCTGGAGCCTGCAGGGACAGCCTGGGGTAGAAGTCACTGGGTGTGACTCTGAGATAGCAGGGAGGCCAAGGCTCATCAGAGTCAGCCCCTGGACACTGACGTGCTGGCCTCGCTCTGGACACTCTTAGGGCCTTCAAATGGGAGCTTGAGAGCAGAGGGAGGACCATCTGCTGGCTCTCAGAGACAATACACCTGGGAGTGAAACTGCCTCCCCTCCTGCTCAGACCCAACATGCTGGAGCCTGTACCCACACCCTCATTCCCCCAGACCTGCCCATCTTTCTGTGTTCTCTCTCCTGTGAATGGCTTTCCCACCCACCCAGCCACCCAAGTGAGAAACCTGGGCCTCCTCCCACTCTCATACCCACATCCAATCCATCACCAAGTTCTGCTGTTTCTCCCTCCTGCATATCTTTGGAATGCATCCGCCTCTCCCTCCGCGTCCTCATCCGAGCGAGGCTCAGCGCTCTCCGGGGCTTTTGCAGGCCACAACCTCCTGGTGGCTTTCTGTCTCCAGTCTCTGTTCCATGGTGGGAGTCATGTTGCAAAATGAAAACTTGATCATGTCGTCTCTCAGTTGAAACTCCCTCGCTCTCTGTTGCCTTTAGGATGGAGCCTTGGGGTCCAGACCCTGCATCTGTAAGCCTCTGCCAACTCATCCTTCACCTGCCCCATCCTTCACCACGCCCCACCGTGCTGACTTCTCAGTTGCTCCCTGCTCCCTGTTTCTTCTGTTTCCTCGGATAGGAACCCTCTTCCCTATCCCCTTCACCTGACGATTTCCACTCACCTGGAGCCATCACCTCCTCCAGGAGCCTTGGTCATGTGCTGCTCCCCTGGGCTCATGTGACTCTGTGTCAGGTCTGCGAGTCCCAGGGGGTCAGACCATTGTCCAGCTCAGGGCCTGGAGTTTGGTAGATGAGTGAATTGGAAGGGTGAAGTCAGGCCTGAACCACTGGTAGGAGCGGAGTGGAACAGAGCAGAGTCTAAGAACCTCCATGCTGGTCTCTTAAGGACCAGAGCCCAGAGACCACGGTCTTGAAGGTAGAAACCAGCTGGAGATGCCAAAATAGGTGAGTTGAGTTCTGCTCCCATGCAGAGAGTGGAAGAGGGGCATGGGCTGGGGGTTGTGATGACCTGACCCCTGGAGGTCTCCTGACCCCAGGAGGCAGGATCTGCCTCACACTGCACAGACATTTGGATCTGTCCCCGCCCCCACACCGTGGCCAGCCTTAGGTTGAGCCTGGGAAACCTCTAGCCAGGGCAAGCAGGCAACGTTGACAGAGCTGCTGCAAAAGGTAGGGCAGGCGCCCCAGAGAATTGACGACCGGAGCAGTGGAGCGCGGAGCGGACAAATGTGTTTCTATAGGCCTCTTAACGAGACAAATGAATGGGGGCCCTGGCCTCTGAGGGAAGTGCAGGGAAGAGGGGCAGAGAGGCAGCTGCCAAGAGTTAGCCCAGAGGCCCTGAGTCAATGCCGAGTCAGCTCTGGCGGGGACCTGGGCATGGGGCTCCGGGGCTCCACCAGCCGGGGCTTGTGTTTCTGAAGAGGGCAGCTTGTGGGGCCAGAGGTGGTCCTGAGCAGGAAGAGGTTTCTGCTGATCCGCTGTGTGCTTGTCAGGTGCTCAGTGGGAAGAATCCACACAGGCCTGAGTCTGGAGCCTGTGGTGGGGTTACTACAGCGTGCGCTGTGCCGGGGGTGGTGCTGGCACCCCCAGAGGTAGGGACCTAAACTTCGTGGGAGGGGGTAGGAGGCTTCCTGGAAAACCGGGGCCCTGAAGGGTGAGTGGGCATTTGCTAAAGGAGGGGTGTTGCCTAAGGAGATGAGATGGGGGAAGATGCAGGAACGGGCCTGGGCTTCTCCCTGGAGCCCATGCGAGGACCACCATGAGAACTGTCTCCCTTTTGTTCCCAGACAGCGTAAGCCAGTTCAGTTACTTGGAATCATAGGAGCCCAGAGCAGGTTGTGGAGAAGGCAATGGCGACCGACTCCAGTACTCTTGCCTGGAAAATCCCATGGACGGAGGAGCCTGATAGACTGCAGTCCATGGGGTCGCTAAGAGTCGGACACGACTGAGCAACTTGACTTTCACTTTGCACTTTCACTCATTGGAGAAGGAAATGGCAACCCACACCAGTGTTCTTGCCTGGAGAATCCCAGGGATGGGGAAGCCTGGTGGGCTGCCGTCTATGGGGTTGCACAGAGTCGGACACGACTGAAGCGACTTAGCAGCAGCAGCAGCAGCAGAGCAGGATGCCTAAAGGCTAGAAGTATAGGTGGGTGGGTAAAATCCTAAGTAACTGGGGATGTATCTTTCGCCACAGCCCCGACCTGGTCTGTGGAGCTGGAATGGGGCAGGCAGGGTGCTGTACGTGGTTCAGCGGTGCCTTCCCCACCCCACCCCCGCCATCCCTGGGGAGGCCAGATCTGGTGGCCCGTCTAGACTCTGCCCTCCGTGGAACTTCCGGCAGGTTGCTTTCCCTCTCAGGGACTGTTTTCCTATTGCACAATGAGGATAGTCACTTCTACCTGGAAAGGTTAACTGAGGTCACATGTTCAAGGCGCCTGACACTTCGTACGTGCTCCTTCCATCCCAGGCCATGACCTGGAGCTCCCTGTGTGTCCCCTGGGAGCCCAGGGTTGTCTCTGAGCGAACTTCCCTCCCGGGGATGCCAGAAGTGGTCACAGGAGCCAGCGTTAATGAGTCCCCAGCTCATTAGGCTGTTCAGGGCCAGGGAAACCCGCCTCCCTGCCCTCCCTTACAGCCCCTGGCTGCTGCCTGTCTGTGTGCCTGTGTACAAGGGGCTGCAGGGAAGGTACAAAATAGCAGTCATCTCCCTGGGGAGCAGCCTCAGGCAGCTCAGTTTGGCTGGACCCTGAGCCTTATGGCCCCCCGGCCAGCCCACTTGGTTCCTCTCTTAGGTCACTCCCTCCCACTTGCCATGGGCTCAGCTACCTGAGAGTGTCCGGGGCATAGGCCCCTGGGAGCTGCTGCCCAAAGGCCTGGGCAGCCATGACTTCCATGTTGTCAGGGACGGGTGGGTGTGAGGGGAGGTGGCCCCACATTCTGGTGGGGCAAAAAGCCCCTCCAGGCACGTGTCCTCGGAAGTCCTGTTCAGAGCCTCCCTGGACGCCAGCTCTGGTCAGTACTGGGCAGAGTGGTCAAGTCACTGAGGTTGCCTGCCTGCCTGGAGACCTGACCCGCGACTATAGCCCAAAGGCTGAGGGGCGCAGAGCAGGCTCTCATAGACTTAAGAGTAGGGTGCATGAGAGGGACTGGGCATATGCAAGGCAAGGGGGATGCCCATGGGCTTGGGTGGGATGGCATCGCCACGGGACCTGAGCTGTGTCCCGCAAGGTGCTTGGCCTGTGGGAAGTACTTTTTTTTGCTTTTTGTTTTTTGAAAGAGTTGAGAAAGGTGAGCCCGGAGAGGGTAGCAGGAGTGAGTGTGGGAAAGGCAGCAAGGAGACAGGATTTGTGCTCTCCAGAAGTCCAACTGGTGAAAAGAGGCGAGGGCTTGGCAGAGCTGTGGGATGAGAGGTGCCCTTCTGTGGGGGTGAGTGGGCTGAGAGAAGTGAGGGTCTGGTCTGATGAAGGGGAGAGACCTGCCCCCTGGATTGCCCCGGGCTTGCACACTGCCAGTCTTTGCCGGAGCCGGGTGGGTGGGTGGGCTGGGCAGGGCCCTGGCCCCTCTCCAGCCTCCCCAGGAGGTTCCGCCTCCTTGAAGGCCCCAGGCCTTGGGCACCGTCCAGCCTCCACTGTACTCAGGCCTCTCTTTCTCTCTCTCTCTCTCTCTCTCTCTCTCTCTCTCTCTGTACCTGGCTGCCTCCCCAGCGCCGGTTCTTTGTTTGACGCAGAGGCCCCACCCCCAGGCACACTCACCCGCCGGCCGTCTGGTTCAGCAGGTTCCAGCCTCTGGTTTCTGCAGCCTGCAGGTTGAGGCAGGAACCAGGGGGGTTCCACCCCTGGCTGCTCTCCCCAGCAGATGTTGAGGGCTCCCCAGTGTGGTGTGTGAGGGGCCCGAGGCCTCCATCCTACTCCACAGACCTTCCCTAATGGTCGTCAGGTCACCTCCCTTGTCCCCACCCCCCCCGCCACTGCCCTGTGCCAGGAAAGGGGTTGGCGCTGGGACAGGGAGGGAATCAAGGCAGGCAGGTTTCTGCCCTGCCCAGGGTTATTGTTCTCTGTCGGGAAGCAGCCATGAATCAAATACTCCTCCACAATGTGGAGAAAGTGATAACCTCACACGTGTACAGAACAAACCGTGAGCAAAAGCAGTAACCTCACACGGGACGTAACAAACCATGAGCACGGCTGTGAGAGGCAGAGGGGAGTCGCTGGAGAGCCCCAAACGCAGAACTAAGCCAGCCGAGGTGGAGGCGACAGCAGGGAGGCAAGGAAAGTTTTCTGAGGAAACGATGTTTAAACTGAGATCAGAAAGGTGGATAGGAGACAGTCGGTAAAGAGGTGGTCTAAGAGGTAGGAAGAACAGCTTATGCAAAGGCCCTGAGGTGCAGGATGAGCATTGCTCATCCAGAGGATGGGAAGCCAGGGCTCTGGGGGGTGTAAAGGGCTGGGGTCTGACCTGGCAGGGCTCTGTCCACCACGACAGGAGTTTAGGTCTTGTTTCAGAAGCCGTGGGAGGCTTTTAGAGGGTTTTGATCAGGGAAGAGGCTGCCACTTTGCTCCGGCTGCTGAGGAGGACAAGACTGGAGGCAGGGATGCAGCTGGTTAGGTTGGCGCAGTGTCCAGTCGAGGGAGGGTGTTGTCTGGACTAAGGTGGTGGCAGAGCAGAGGGAGAGGGGAGCTGCAGTCTGGAGGTGAGGGGGAGGGGTGTGCAGTGTGCAGAGGGGTGGGCAGGAGACCCTTCCCCACCCCTGAGTGTGGGAGGAGGGGCCCTATCTGAGAAGACCTGACTGAAAGGACCAGCGTACAAAGACAGGCTGTGCAGACCGGGAATGTCCGGAGCCTGCTTTAGAGGGCAGTCGGGGCAAGTGAGGCAACCTGAGGTTCTCTGAACCTTTGCGCTGTCCCCGTGTCCCTCTGGCCCCGAGCAGGTTTGTGTGTTACCCCAGCAGGGCTGCCCTCGCCCCCTCTGGGTACTCCTAAGTGCAAGTCAGGTAGGTCCCCAAGTCTCCCTCCTCCAGGGAAGCCCTGAGCTATGCTTAGGGTTTGGATTGCTGGCTCAAACCCTGGCTTTACACCAGATCAGTGTTGATTTATCTGTTGTTTGACCTTCTGAGCCTCCATTTCCCCATCTCTAAAAATGGGGATGATAATACTACTGGTGCTAAAGAGTGTGATAGCTGCCCACAGGCGAAGTCCACCACGTGTCCAGCTGTGGGAGCAGCCTACAGACATCATCACAGTTTGTCTGCACAGACCCCTGCCTCTAGCACCGTTTAGCAGATGAGGCTCAGAGATAGTTACTGGCCTTTCTTGATAATTACACAAAACCTGCAGAGCCCGCTGGACCCTGGGGTACTGGGTATGATGGACCCCTCCCTGCTCCCTGCAAGGCTGCGCCCTCCCAGCTCTGCACTGCAACTGTCACTCCTGAGCCTAGTGGTTGGTCCCCAGACCCTTCCCCCCTCGGAGACGCTGCTCCATCTGTTGTCCCTCTTCTCTGCACTGGATCAGCACCTTCTCTCTCTGCTGCCTCCTTCCCAGCAGCACTAAAAGACCATCTTTCGGGCTTCCCTGGTGGCTCAGTGGTAAAGAATTTGCCTGCCCGTGAAGGAGACCCAGGTTCAATCTCTGATCCGGGAAGGTCCCACATGCCGCAGAGCAAATGAGCCCATATGCCACTACTATTGAGCCTGTGCTCTAGAGCCCGAGAGCCTGAAGTCCGCTCGCCCTAGAGCCTGTGCTCTGCAACCAGAGAAGCCACCGTAGTGAGAAGCCCATGCACCACGACTGGAGAGTAGGCCCCGCTCTCTGCAGCTCGGGAAAAGCCTGTGCGACAGAAGACCCAGCACAGTCAATAAATAAAATTGTTTTTAAAAAGTACTGTCACATCTTAGGAAAAAAAGAAGAATGTAAAAACCTCCCTCCCAATTTTCATCCCCTCCGAGTGCCACCTTTTCTTTCTCTTCCCCATCACAGCCAGTCTCCTTTGAACAGTCACTGTACTCTGCTCTCCACTTCTTCACCCCCAACTTAACTCCTCAACCTTCTTTGGTCTGGCTTTGGCCCCCACCACCCCCCTGACTCTGCTCATGACAAAGCCTCCAACTACACCAAGGTGAACTGTTTCTGCCAGGTGTTTTGGAGTCAAACAGGCTTGAATTCAGATCTCAGATGTGCCGCTCATTGGCTGTGTGACCTTGGGCTAGTGACTTGACCTCTCTGTGCCTCTAAACTGGGGACAACAAGCAGTTGAGGACTAAATGAGATAAAGTACCGGGTACAGAGTGGGATTATCATCATTGCACAAACATGTTTTTGTGCCAGAGACCAGGCCAGGCCTGGCCTCATCAGCACCGAGCAGGTGGTCTGAAAGGTCACTTCTCACGGTGTCAGCCTTCCTGGAGCTGTTCATTGGCCTGATTAATAGGAAATGGATCCGCTGTCGGGATTAACGAGGCGTTGCTACATCTTAATGAAGGCCGGGTTTCTGGGATCTCGTGACCGTGGGTGGTGGGATTCCAGGTCGACCCTGTTGTATATCACAGTGGCGTGGGTGGGCGTGACCATACAGTGTCCAAGCCCACTCCCTTCTCCCCCTCCCACTGCTTCTTGGTGGAACTTTGGGGAGACGTCCAGGCCGTCAGAAGACAATCACCCAGTCAGTGGGAGCTGGGTGGGGAGGGTAGATTTACAGGAAAGCATTCACCTGGGAAGGCATCCAGAGATAGGACGTCTCTGGATTAGGAGGTGGAATGTCTAGGCCTCCGGGACTGATCGTGCGTGGGGGCCGGGGAGAGGAGGAGTCGTGGTTTCTGGCTTTAGCCTTGGGGTAGGTGGTGGTACCATCACCTGGGTGCAGAGCAGTCATGTCTGCGAGAGAGGCTGGGCCGTTCCCAGCAGCTCTCAGCATGCCTTTGTCCTAGAGCTTGGAATTGTTGAGGGGATGGGAGACAGAAGAGTGTAGCAGTTAAAGTACAGACTCAGTACTCCAGACTCAGTTGCCTGGGTTCAAATCTTGGCTCTGCTACTAAGCGGCTGTCATGTTGGGCAAATCCCATTACCTCTGTGTACCTTGACTTCTCTATAAGCAAAAATAATGTGCTCTTTGAAGAGCACCTAACACATAAGAAGCACTGCATAAGGGCTAGGCATCACTACCGTTATTTCCTTCATAGACCTTTCTTCTCCACCCCCGTGCCTGCCCCCTGTAGCATAGGCCATTTCTGCAGTGACCATCCCGTGGTGACTTGACGTTCCTATCTCTCCAGGCAAACCTGTCTTCGTCAAGGTCCCCGAGGACCAGACTGGATTGTCAGGAGGGGTGGCCTCCTTCGTGTGCCAAGCCACGGGGGAACCCAAGCCGCGCATCACATGGATGAAGAAGGGGAAGAAAGTCAGCTCCCAGCGCTTCGAGGTACAGCTTCGGGTGGGCAAGGGCAGGCAGGGCTCCCGTTCTGCCTATTTTGGGGTCTGGTCCTATATCACCTCGTCTTGACCTCATTCCCTGGGGGCCTTTTCTCGGCAAGAGAAAGGCTGAGCCTGAGCAGGCCCTGGTGTCTGTCCTGAGCAGGCTGTGACCATGTGTCTGTCCTCCGGCAGGTCGTTGAGTTTGACGACGGGGCAGGATCTGTGCTGCGGATCCAACCACTGCGGGTACAGCGAGACGAAGCCATCTATGAGTGCACGGCCACCAACAGTCTGGGAGAGATCAACACTAGTGCCAAGCTCTCAGTGCTCGAAGGTACCTGCTGGAAAGGGATGTGGCATCGGAGGGTGGGGAGACTTATGTGCGGGATCAGCCAGCCAGCCAGCCCCAGCCCCACCGTGGACTGCAGTGTGTTTGGTAGAAAGGAGAACTGGCCACCCTGGGGTCAGAGAAGGTCAGTGGTGGACAGCGATGATTGCTGGATTTTTCGCATATGCGTGGTGTCTTTGTGTTGTGCTGAGCCAGGGTGTTGCTTGGCTGGGGTCTGGGGCCTGACCTGAGGTGTGAGGTGGTAGCTACGTGTCACTTGGGGTACATGATTCGTGGTAGTGGATGTGATTTTCATGTGGAACCTAGCGAGAGGCTTCAGAGAAGTGTGTTCCCAGTTGCTGCTGTGAGCAAGGGCCCTAGGCTGGCGGCCAGGGGCCCTGTATGTGGACTTTCATGACCTCTCTCGCTTGATGGCTCCTCCATTCATTCACAAACACACCCTGATGACGCCTTGTGTCCTGAGAGTATCTGACCTGGTCCTGCCCTTGCGACTTCAGTCTCCAGTAGGTTCTGCGTTCTGCAGGAGAGGCCCAGGGGACTGCAGGAGGTGGGGGGAGCGCACAGGGGTTCAGGGGAGGAGGGAGTTGTTGTCTGAGTCCTGAAGACAAGTGGGAGTTGGGGTGGGAGCCTTGGTGGGCACATAGCATCAGCTCACACCAAGGTCCAGAGGCAGGAGACAGTGGAGCTTTCAGGGAACTCTTGAGTGGTTCCATTTGGCTTTGGGGTGGAGGGTGGTTGGAAGACACAAAGTAAAGTGGGGAAGAGTAGGTAGTTCAACATGAGCCTGGAGAGGTTGGAGGGCAGATCACACAGGACCCACCAGGCTGAGAAACACTTTCCTGGGGACATAGGAAGCCACAGACAGGGAGTGACGTGATCGCCGCCCACTCCCACCTGCTACGATGAAGGCAGCCCTCTGACTATGCATGCATTTTCAAAATATGGTTTGGACTGTTGCTTTAAAAAAAAATTGCAATACCAATACCTGTTCACTGTTGAAATTTTGGTAAGTATAAAATAGCACATAAGAAAAATTAAAAATCACCTGTTTATCTTACCACTACTATTAACATTTGGTTATTTGCTTATAGTCCATTTTCTGTGCATGCATTATATATGTAACAAAAACAGGATTACATTCTGCCCAATGATTTGTAGACTGCTTTTTAAAAAAAAACATATCTTGAACATCTTCCTCACCATTAAGTATTTTTCTGCATCATTATTTTTAATGGCTGTGGGTAAGTGTCACATGCAAGTACCCTAATTTCTTTAGCCATTCCCTTATTGTTGGGCACATATGTGTCCAGTTTTTTGCTTGCATAAGTAAGGGACTGTGCGCTTTCTTACAGATGTGTTCACTTTCCTGATTATTTCCTAGATGCACAGAAGTGGAATTGCTTGGTCAAAGAGCCACATGTGATGTTTAGCCTTTTCAATATTTCCAGAAGACTGTCAGTTTACACACCCACCAAACAGGGCATGAGAGGGCCTCTTTTCTTCACATCCTCACCAGCAGTGGGAATTATCATTAAAAAAATCTTTGCCAAGTTAATAGGCAAGAAATGGCATCTCAATTTAATTTGCATTTCTTTGATTACAAGAACAGTTGAACGTCTTTTTGTGTTGGCCGTTTTTACACTGTGGCTTTGTATGTTCACGTTCACATCCTTTCAGTAACTCCTTTGTGCCTGTGTGTCTCCTGCAAGGCAGGGCAGGGCCCTCCAGCTTAGAGGGGCAGCGGTTAGGATTAGGGGCTCTGGACCACTTATTCTCTTACCTTGTGACCTCAGGTGAGTAACCGTGCCTCTGAGCCTCATTTTGCTCCATCTGTAAATCGGGACGTGATGCCTGCCACCCAAGCTGGTTGGGAGGATTAAATAGGATGTAGTTAAGCACTTTGCTGAATTCCAGCATGAATGGGCGCTGCTGTAGGGCTGAAAGCTGCACACCCTAAGGTCCACACATGTGAGCTGCCTGTACCTGGTGTCGGTGATGCAGCCCCCACCGTCCACTCCCCTGAGGGGCGGGGGCCTAGAGGAATCACCCTGAACCAGGATCCCTGACGGTTGGGTGCTCTCAAGGTCCTCCCTGCCACTCTGACCTCAGTTCCCCCACTCATGACCTCAGGACAGGGATTTCAGCACTGCCCTCCCTCCTGTTGCCCGCTGCCCCAGCAGGAGCCATCTGCCCTGCCCTGGCATTTGGGAGGTGGCCGAAGGGCCAGACTGTGGCTCCCACCCTAGGGGGCATCTCTCAGTACCTCGCATTAAAGGAAAGAGAGGCTCTTTTTTAGTGCTGGAGGAAGAGTCCCTACACGCCAGTGCTGGAGGGGCCTTCTTGGAGGAGGGTTTCTCTAGCAGGGGTCTGGGGTGTTTTCCTGCCTCTGGGTGTGAGAGGTGTCGGGTGAGGTTGGGGAGCGCACGGGGGCCCCAGGCCTGTTCCTGGCCCGGTTGGGATGGAGCTGTGGGCCTGCGTGAGCCCCCCTCCTGCTCCTGAAACACAGCACCCGGAAGGTGAAATGCTGACTTGCCATGTTGGTCTGCGTGACCTTGACCGGCTCTGGGCTTGGCAGAAAGGAGTGGAGTAGGAGGTCGCAAAGGTGCCAGGGGGAGGGGCCTGAGGAAAGCAGCTCCCCCTCACCGTGCCAGGCCTCCCCTGCTGGCCAGAGAGGCTGGGTGTGTGTAGGAGTAGGGTGAAAGGATGGTTTGACTACAGCTGTGGGCCTGGGTCAGAAGAGAGCCAGGGCCATTCCTGGGAGGCAGGCTGGGGAGAGGGGGAAGCTGGTTTGGGGACTGGGACTCAAGGTGGAGTTCCTTACGTGCCACACACCATGCACTGCGTGTAGCTCAGCACACACCAGGCACTTCAGGGGAGTGGCCCAGGGCTCCCTGGGGTGACTCGGCTCAGCTGAGAGGTTGCTGCATCCCAGGCCTGCGTGTCCACGCCAGGCTCCCTGCCCTGCCTTGCTCTGTGCCAGGCCCAGCTCCTTTCACATTCGAAGCACCCCACACCACTCCCACTCCGTGGCCTTTGCACCCAGCTCCCTGGGCAGGACTGCCACTCCCAGGGAGTCCCGACTGCCCTGCGAGGCCCAGCCAGCTGCCTCCCCACCCCCTTGGCCCGGGCTGGGTACAGGGTGGGGGTGCCCGGCACAAGCTGGCTGGGGGCGAGCTGCCCAGCGTTCCTGTCTGAGTGGTAATTGAAGCCATTAGCGCGCCAGCCTCTCCCTCGCCGGGTAATGGCAGGAAAAGCTCTTCTCACTCCGCACTCTTGAGGCTGAATCACTCCCCCTCCAACCCGCCTGCCGCCGCCACTGAGACAGGGAATCTGACATTTTCCCTCTAGAAGGAGGGGGAGCCAAGGGGGAGGGGAGGCAGGCCTTGCTTCCCAGCCTTTCCCTCCAGGAGGTGGGGGAGCCAGGAGGGTCTTGGAGCTCAGTCTGGAGGTTCGGGATCTGCCTGGGCCAGTGGGTTCCATCCAGGAGGTACCGTGGTCAGGAAAGCCTGGAGGATGCCAGACAGCAGAGGTGTGGCCTGGGCCCTGATGACTTGGGCAGGTTCTGGAAGGGCCTAGGAGAAGAGGAAGGGGCAGAGGGGGAGGGAGGAGGAAGAAGGCCAAGGAGCAGAGATGAGCCATTTCTGACTTGCCTTGGAGGGCTTGGCTCTGCAGACTCAGAGTGCAAGAGGCAGCATTTGCTGTGGTCATGGATACCGCGGACAACATGCACCCGTGTTGTGGCGTGTGTGCCCTGTGGTGTGTGGTGTGAGTGCCCTGTGTGCTGTCTGGAAGGCAGTGTGTGTGAGGTGTGTGATGTGGTGCTGCACTCATGGGCTGTGTGTGCCTTACGGGTTGTATAGAAAACGGGGGCTCTGCATCCGACTGTGTGTGCGCGCGCGTGTGCTTGTGCGTACACACATCAGGCGGTGTGGTGTGTACAGCAGGTGGTGTATGTCATGCCGTGTGTGCATCAGACAGTGTTTATATGGGGTGCGGGCTGAACAGCAGGTGGTGTGCACCTTATGGGCTGTTGTGTACGGCGGGGGAGGGGTATGCAGCAAGCAGCCTGGGCTGAGTGTGTGCAGTGAGTCTGGTGCTGCAGGAGGCCCGAGATGTGGGACTCATTGCCTCCAGGACCCCACAGGATCCCTGCTCAAGGCTGGTGGTTGGCCAGGGCAGCTAGACAGAGATGGACCTGGGGCAGAGTGGTCAGCCTGAGCCGTTCTCAGTGCCTGAGAAACTATCCTTCAGCAGGCCGGGGGGAGGGGGCACCAGAGAGGGATCCTCCCCAGACCTTGGGACTCTCTCCTCCTCGTTTCCTCCCGGCACTGAGCCCCGGCTCCTTTCACCCGTCCCCACCTGGCCTTGGTGTCTGCTGACTGGCCAGGACCACACCACTCAGGCCACAGAGGGCCAGGAATCCAGGTGCCCGCGTGGCGCGCCTGGTCTTGCCCCCTTCCTGGGGCATAGGCTCTGGGGGAGGCCTGCTGTCAGGCCTATGGGGTAGTGACTGGCGGTGGGAGGCGGGCAGTCAGTGCTGGGCCAGGACCCCCAGGCTCCGTAGTGGTTTTGAGCCTGGTTTGGGGACTGTGGGGTGATGAGGCCCTCTTGAGCCCCGTGCCAAGCCCCTTTGAACATGAGGACTGATGAACAGCATGGACCCTGTCCTGCCATCCTGGGTACTGGCTGCACCCAGTACCTGGAGTACTGCACCTGGAGCGCGGCCAGTACAGAAGCTCGTGTTTTCAGGGTGGGTGGACGTTTCCCCAGGGGGCCAGCTCTCCCTGCCCCACCCTCCTCCGTGTCCCTGGCCCAGGCCCGACTAGGGGGTGGGGTGTTTGGGGAAAAAGCTGTCACAGGCAGAGGACGACCGTGCCCCTTTCCTGTTTCCTGCATACAAGACCAGGTAACCGGCTTGTTCTGAGGAAGCTGGGCCCGTCATCTCCCTGATTTGCATCCACAGAAGACATAGAAAGGGCCCCTAG